ACTGAAACAACAATGGGTTTTCATATAGTCTACTTCCTTTTCTGAATTCAAATTCCTTTATTTGGTTTTAACTTGTGACCTCTGTTCTTTGTTGACCCCGTGTTTGGATATGTTGGTCTTTTAGACTTGTAATTTTGTGTTTTAAGAGAACTGGTCCGTTTGGTGGTTCTGTTTTATGGTCACAATCTTTATTTTGCAAAGCGGGTTCATCAGTAAAGGAACTGATGATTCATAAACTGTAGATGAGGTAGTGAGAAAGGGAAGTGATAACATGAGCATTAATCAAACATCCTTTTCTCACACATAAGCCATTCACTTTCCCCCTTTACCACCACAGTCACTTAAGTATTACATTACACTTTGTGCTCATATAAACTGCTGGCTTGTCTTATTCTTTGCACACAGGAAGACAGCATTTTACAACACATTTAGGTGTAATACATGATTTATAGGTATATCACCCATAATTAGGTATTATATAGGCAACTACACACGCAGTTGATTAGTGATTAAATCCAAACCGACACTTTTGTGGTTAAGACAAATTTAAAAATCAAAGCAGTTCTTTTTCCACTGTCTGCCGGCTAAAGCCTAAAACATTTAGCATGTCGAAACACAAAGTGCAAGTAACATCTATCTGAGCCAAGAATTGAATCACTGTTGTGTGACATCAATCAATCAACCATACAGAGAAGCGAAATGCCCCAGCACTGCTATTTTGAAATACTGTCTATATAAAACCAAAGGGGATTTTTTTCAAGCTATTGCATCAAATGGCCATGTGACTGTAAAAGTTACAGAAACTTGCAAGAGACAGTTAGATTTTGAAAGTACCCAACCAAAAAAAAAGAAGGGCCAGTGTAATTTTTTGTTACGCCAAAATTGCAAACCAACCTTTTGTCAAACTATAAAACCCGATGAGTTACTGAGTAAATCGATATATTATAAATATTTAATATTGGGTACAAGTAACTCAATTATTGTTAAGCCAAGGTAAATTAAGTGGTACTTAAAACTATTAAGTACGGTATATTACACTCATATGCTGCATTTCTCCAAACTCATAGAATAAAGTAAGACTAACCTAAATATATCTTATTCATAGATTTACTCAGATTTCTTCCACTAAAGCAAATGATTACACAACCTGTCAAAACAGCTGACGTAAGATAAAAAGCTATTTATAATTAATAGATTATCAGAATGGTAACTATATAATTTTGGGGCTTCCATTTTCGTTCACTCCACAAAATTTATTTGATACCATTACTTACTTTGTAGATTCATGTCCAAAAACCCTGTAATCCTTATTTATGTCGAAGAATATATGTTGTGTATGAATACATTATATTCTGCTCTATTCTACAACATATTTTATGTCTCAGATCAGTCTACTTTGAACCCACCAGCATTACACAGAAACTAATTACCATCAGACTTAAGCCCACGCTTAGTCTCCTTCTTCACCTGTTTGCTAATGAGCCACGTCTCTACCTCATGTAGTTTTAATTAATTTCAGCCGTAAAATGTCTTAACAGTCCTTATTTTCTCTGGCTGAAGGTACTGCATCTACCAGACAGCAGAGAAGAGGATGTTTTTCTTTGCTTGTTTTACACTAGTCATATGTAGACTTTCTAGAGGAAATAAGTAAAACCACAACTCCCTGTGTGAAACAAAAAATAACTAAAAAAGGGAACAGAGGGTAGCCTCCCAAGAGTAACATCGAAGATTTACCAACAATGTATTAATGTATGTATCATACATTTATCATCATTATTATCTATCTAAATCTACGAGCTGTACGGTAAAAGGACAAATCTTGCTTTTTTTCATAGCATGTCTGTAACAAATGTATTATTATATTAAAAAGTATTATATATTATTATCTGAAGTCAGCTTATTAACATGGTTTTATGAAACGGAATTTTGACAAAAACATTCTAAAAAGAACAATTTAACAATCAAATATCACATGTTACATTTTCATTACTCTATTATGGCACAGACTTATTCTAGTCACTCTATATGTTGGAAAAGATACAAAATTGTTACTTTGGCACCAAGCAAACACACAACACTCATGAATTAGATGAAAATCAAGAATGTATTTAATCATTCAACATTCAATGAATTGAATTTGTTTTACGTAACTTTTTCTCTTCTTTTTTTTAAGTTACTGCACATTATCTATGTATTAGACATATATAATGGTGGGTAATTTTCTGAAGTATGTACCCAAGAATGTGCTCCAGTCATACATAGGTACAAGAACAGTGCCATCCTCTCTACCACAAAGACATGGTACATTGACTCCAGATGGACTTGAGTTTTGAACTACTTGGGCAATGTCATCCAAGCAGTCAACCTTATTCCTCCTAAAATTTATTTTAAAGAGCCCAAAGCACCAGTCACAGGAAAACTTTGTGTGCCCAGCAAGAAGGAAACTCATTTTGATTGACACATGACGACCTGTCAAGACACGCCACAACAGATACCACATCACAAAAGAGTTCTTGTTTTGTCCCGCACAGTTATCTGCATGAAGGTGCATGTGCATTTCACCCAGTCCATAATTCTCAAGGTATGAGTGTAAAAGGCTAATAACACAGTTGCTACCTTTACCAGTCTGTATGGATTCATCCAACAAGAAAGTAACCTGCTTTGGCAAGGCCTCACATGCTACACCAAAAACTCCACACTTAAGTGGTGTTTTGAAATTCAAATTTTCAAAGTCCATGCTATAATGTACCATTCCCTCCTAACTAGAAGGACTGTGTGGACCTAACTCTAACCCGTCAGGCAAGTTTGCTTTTGAATCCTTACAAAGTTGCTGATAGTGTGTACGTTCTACTCTAGCTTTCTCCAGATGTTCAGTGGCCAGACGATGCAGCTCTTCCTTCTCTGAATCAGCCTTATTGGCAGCCTCACTAATGCGTTTTTGATATTTTTGACATGTCCAACGCAGGTCAGTTGCTGGCCGCATTGTGACAACAAATGGCACCACTTCCCGTCAGATACGACGAAACATAACTACAGAAACCACACGCTGATTCGCTGCAGCAACTGCCACACGGTAATCAGAGTACACCTTCACCTTCATACAGTTAGTTGGAAGAAGTTTCAAATCACTCCTCCAAAAGCCTGGTACCCTCCCTGGAAGATGCATGCCATGAGTTTCAGCATAGTTTATAATGAAATGTGCAACATACATATTGTCCTCTTTCTTCAGTGCATTAGGAGGCTGACGCTTTTTGTTGCCATGCATTCGAGGAGTAACACCATGCTCTTTATAATGCTTAATAAGAGCATCTAGCTTGACCTGGCCAATGGCATGGAGATATTTAAACGTATCCCTGCATATTTTCTCCCCATAGTGAAAGAAATCAGTTCTTTGGGACTTCCGAACTGTCTGTTCTTTTTTATGGGTGCGGGATGTTAGCTGAGAAAGATGCATTCCACTCGAGAGTTTAGCTAGAATGGCGATATCTAGCTCTTCCCTTGTCATTTCCAGGAAACAGTAGCGAATCATCTGCAGCTCCTCTTGCATGAAACGTGTTGAACATGGATGACCATTGTTGTATTTGCATGCACATACAAACTCTTGCACATCATCACCATTATCTTCTTGAAGTGGAACTGGTGGTAGTATCTCTGCTACATCTTCAATAATGGATATGGGATGGTCATCATCTGGAATGAGGAAGAATGAATAACTGTAAGACATATGTATTATATAAAAAAGGCTGAACTACATTATTACTAATAATCAACATTGACAATCCATCACACAAGTATTTCACCATTGCAATATGTCTATGCCCATAAGACATAGGCTACTACTATAGTAGTACTACTATTATTACTCAAAATCATCATCATCATCATCATCATCATCATCATCATCATTAGATTATGTTGTTTGACAAGGTACGACCAAAACGTTAACATTATGTTAAGGTGTAGTCTACTATTAAAAAAAATGAACATGTTACATGCAGGCTTGCACAGCACGCTGACAAGAAGCAATCGGATCTGGCTCAATCCAACATCTCTCTCCTGAAATAAGATTTATATGTCTTACGTTTAAATTGCACAGAAGAAACCGTCTTCACCATCTGTAATGCAAGGCTACTACAGCCTTGAATGTCACTAGCATGGAGCAATCATGAACAGGGGCGGACTGGGGCAATAATTCAGGCCGGGAATTTGATAATATCCCAGGCCACCACCATCGGATTAACGCAAAACACCAGAGTGAGTTAGGTTGGGCGCCTACTGATGTAAGAGTGTAAAATAATAGAGCAAATGCTCCACATGTGCCCACACACAGCTTTTTCTGTTTCTTTCCCCTACAAAATAAATGTTACTGTTCACTAATTGACAATTTTTATATGCATTGGCTATGTTCATATAACAACAAATACGTTCTTAATCTCAATGGGATTTTACCGGGTTAAATAAAGGTTAAATTAAATAATATAATACAAGGATTTCAATATTCATATAATGTAATATGTTGTGCCTATGTTAGTTAACCATATTCTAAAAAACAACACATTTGTTTTATTAAGTCAGTTTTAGCCCCATCAGCTCCCACAAAGTGGAACTGACCTCCTCATTAAGCTGGTGGTGCTGGATAGGCTCTGGTTGTGCGTCTGTTGTCACCACTAGTGTTTAATGTCTTACCTGCTCCCTTACTGACAAACATGTCAGTTATTTTACAGCACTTCGCTGATCTGTGGTCAGTGCTTTTAGCTTTTCAAGCCTCTCCCTCTCTGCTCCACCTTTCCTCTTGGGCTGTCGATCTCGCTCCATTTTTCAAGCATGTAGAACAACAGGTGAGGGAGGGAGGAGGGAGGAGGGGTCGCAACTTGGTGTGTGTCTGCCTGCAATGCTGTGACAGAGAGGAGGGGGCGTGTTTGTGCCCAACGTTGCTGCTCAGTCTGTGTGAGCTTCAGCGAGGCAGATACCCTAATGAGGGCCACTGATCATGAACATCACCGAGTCTATTAACCTGACGTTAATGCTACAGTCTGCATCTCGAACATTAACGTTAAGTCTCCGTTTTAAACTCACATGTCAGCTGAACTTGCATGCATAAACAGCCATAGTTTGTGGCTTTAACTTGAAGTTTTAAGCCTTCGTGTCGCCGTTCAAAAGAAATGTATAACGGGAAAATGATAATGGATCAAGTTACTCTGAACGAACTGCAAACCTACATCACGGTTATCAGTACACAAGGAGATAAGTTACCTGAGGGGGATGGCATTTTAAAATTTAGTAAATTGTTGTTGTTTTGTTGTTGTTTTATTACTGGTGCGGTCCCTGGATGTTTTAATCGTAACATTATCCTTGTAGGTTTTTATAACGTAACATAATATGATCTTTCAGACAGCTTGGCCAATATAAATGATTTTTTAGTGTATAAAACGAGCGAATTTCACTTAGATATTTTCAGGAATTATAGACAAGATGTTATATAATAATAATTGAATGAAAACCCTATTTTGCCAAATAAATGACAATCGACCTATTTTTACTATTTCCTCAAAACGTGCCAGCGCGACATCCGACGGGTTTTTCCCAGATCGCATCACAAATGATTGTTCATATTGAAAGCTGAGAGGCTTGAATATGATGCAGCTGGTCACAAGAAACAGCCCGCCCTGTAATCTATTCTCACTTCCTCACCTGATTTATGAGAAAGAGTGCAGCAGCAGCAGCAGGCAGAGGTGATTATGTCTTAAGTAAACTGTAGATTACATTTTCCACTCTTTTGATCTGAGAGGAACATTTTAATCGAACAAAATAAGAAAATTAAATTACAAGATTCTGTGGACACGACATCCATGATTATTCTGCTCTACTTTGTGTGACACAGTGAGTAGTAAACAATTATTTGTCATGTGTTTTTAATCATTGGTTTATTATTGGTCTTAATAAGGTTATAGAAACTGCCTGAGCTCAGATGTTATGTTTTTCCTGTTTCCACAATGGGTAATTGCCCTTACCTACCTTATTTATGATAGTGTGCAAATTATGATATGAAATTATGTCATTTTTATTTTTGTTTATTTTATTGGATTTTCAGGATTACCTTCTACAGTTTTCACCAAGTGGACAATACGTGATTCTTTGTTGGCTGGACGAATATTTAAAAAAATGGGTCCTGGAGTGAAGGAAGACCAAACAATGCCAGAAGGAAGATTGAAATGTTCCAAACTCAGTATTATTTTCTTCTTGCTGAATGTCAGCAATTTTGTTGTTCCAGGCACAGGCTTTGCGATGAGATCTTGCCGAATCAGTTACAATATCGCCATATGTAAGGGTGGGCTCAGATATGTTCCTCAGGATGTTCCTTCAACAGTGAAAGGTTTCGACTTGTCTTCAAACAAAATTTCTAAAATACGAGTATCAGATTTCAAAAGTCTATCACTTGTGACACAGATAGACCTAAGTCGCAACAACATTTTGCACATAGATACAGGTTCCTTTGCTGATCTGATTTCCCTCAAGAGGTTAAATCTAAATAACAATAAACTTGTTGAACTTGCAGATGATGTTTTTAAGGGTTTGAGCAACCTCACAGAGCTAAGGATTATCAGTAATAAAATCAAAGTGGTGGCGTCCACCTCTTTTAGGTCCTTGACAAGCTTGAATTTTTTGGACATATCTTACAACAAACTGGACAACTTAACAAAAGTTAATTCTATATTACAGCACCTGCCAAATCTACGAGTTCTGATAATCAAAAACATCAATTTAACTACTTTTCATTCATGGGAACTGACAAACAGCTCGCTACAACTGACTTCCCTTGATTTGTCTCAAAATCCCATCACAAAATTTAGTATCACTGAAGATGTTTTTCCAAATCTCACCTGGTTTAATATCGGCGGCTACCAGAAACCCATGACATGGGATGTGCGTAACCAGACTTTTCTTAGTCGAGTGTCTTCTCTTGATATTAGTGGGCTTCAAGTGACGTTTGAGGACATGAAAACATTACTAGAGAGTGTCAACTCCTCTCTGAATTCTATAAGAATGTATGCAATGAAATATAAACCTACAGCTCTTATCAACGTTACCTGCACCATCCCAACAATGTCCACACTCAAATTCCGACGTAACAAACTCAGTTTTATCAGCTCAAATTTGTTTCATTTGTGTATTAATGTTACAGAGTTAGATTTAGGGGATAATAAAATTAAAACCATCAAAGATGAGGCCTTCAGATCTATTAAAGGTTTAAGGATCTTGACTTTGAGTCGTAACAAACTTCCAACTGTTCCAGCTGCCACAAGAAATATACCAACTCTTGCAGAGCTGGATCTCAGCTCTAATAACATCACCAGGCTTGAATGTTACGATTTTGCCAATCTGACAAAGCTCAGACAGCTCAACCTTTATCTGAATCAGATTACAACTCTACAAGAGTGTGTTTTCAAGGATTTAAAACAATTGCAAGTTTTAAAGCTTCAGAACAACCATATCTCCAAAATAACCGGCGCTTTCAAAAAATACTTGCCAAGTCTTAAACAACTTCGTTTGAATGCAAATAAAATCACCACTATTAAACATGGGGAATTTATGGGCTTGCAGTCCCTCCAGAACTTGTCATTACATGACAATCAAATACATACACTTAACAACGGGTGTTTTATTGGATTAACAAGTCTTACCGATATTCAGCTACAATCGAATGACATAAAAACACAAGAAATAAACAGTATTTTCAATGATGTGATTAATTTAAGAAGATTAGATTTGAGGAACAATCACATCAAATATGATCATAGTTCAGCTCTGCCTCATCCACCATTTTCTCAGCTGTCCCTTCTGGAGACTTTGGCTATTCCAGCACAACACAGCAGGGGGAAGGCCCAACTGCCTTGCAACATCCTGCAAGGTTTGACAAATCTTTTGGTTTTTAATACCAGGAACAGTCAACTTTTATCCTTGCCCAGAGACATGTTTAACTACACACCTCAACTGCAAACGCTTGACGTTAGCTCAAATGACCTTGTGGATTTCTCTCCAGATATATTTCACCCAATTCAAAACCTTAAAAGCCTCTACATATCTAGAACAAGTCTTCGGTCTCTAGATTTCCTTAATGATGCCGGCCTTACTAAGCTGGAGTTTATGCAGGCGAGAAAGAATGAATATTCAGTTATCAGTGAGAAAGTAATGGACTCGCTACCATCTCTCATTTATGTAGACTTTCAAGGCAATAGTTTCACTTGTGACTGCAATAACGCCTGGTTCCTCCAGTGGATTGAAAACAACAAACAAACACAAGTTTTTGACGCTTACAGATTTGAGTGCAACTATCCTACAAAGCTAAAAGGAACAAAACTGTTGGACTTTGACATCCAGTTCTGCACAGTGCGCACCGAATTCATCTGCTTTGTATCCACCACATGTATAACCATCCTGTTTATGGTGGCGTCCTTTACGTACCATTTCCTGAGGTGGCAGCTGGCTTATGCCTACTACTACTTCTTGGCTTTGCTGTTGGACACAAAGAATAAAAACAAGCAAGCTCCTTATCATTATGACGCTTTCATCTCCTACAACACCCATGATGAACCATGGGTCATCAGAGAGCTGTTGCCAAAACTGGAAGGAGAGCAGGGGTGGAGATTGTGTCTGCACCATCGAGACTTCGAGCCAGGTAAGCTTGCCCTTTACATCTGGCATTAAACTAATGATTTTCTTTGTTCCAGCTGAGCTTTAATGGACAATCCTGAATTCAAAATGGAGACTAGATAGTAATAACAATAATAATAACTTTATGTATATAGCCCAATTCCTGCATACGATGTAACACATTGTGCTTAACATCATAATCATGACATTTATGGTGAAACAATGTAAAGAATGAAAATAAAATAAAATTGAATTAAAACAGTAGGACAAGACAAGATAAAAAACACTTGGCAAAAAGAAAGCAATGGTAAAAAGATGTGTCTTTAGATTTTATTTGAAGGTGCCGACAGATTTTGAGGCCTTAACACCTTCAGGCAGACTGCTCCAGAGTGTAGGAGCATAATGAACATATCTGTGCCTTTTACTTCTGACCTGTCTTAACCATGTCAGGCAATTTGGTGATTTCAAAAGCGATAATAAGAATTTAAAATGAATTCTGTGACAGATTTTAAGATTGGAGTAATGTGGGATCTCGGTTTGCTTTTCGTCCGAACCCGTGCTGCAGCATTCTGTATGAGCTGCCACTGACTAATAGCTTTTGTAACTGGCACTAGACAGAAGATCGTTACAGTAGTCCAGCCTGCTGGAGATAAAAGCATATTAACTTTTCTGTGTAAGCCTGGGAGGGAAATGACCTGACTCTGGCGATATTCCTTAAGGGATAGAAGGACACTTCAGTAACACTTCTAATGCAGCGTTTAGAATTTAGGTCAGTGTCAATAATAACACCAACATATATATATATATATATATATATTACCTGTACCTTGGTGTTAACTGTGAATAATACTTTTCCTCTCAGTTTTTGCACCTAGACTAGCATCTCAGTTTTGTCCTGATTTAGTTGTCAGAGGTTCTGAGTCATCCACTGTATTCATTAGAGCTTACAGGGTATATATAATGATACTAATCAAGGTTTCCATTTCCATTTAGTGTAGCAGAGTCTTTCCAGTGACCCAATACGCACAACAGCAGCACAATGACTCTGTTTGACCTGAATGGAAAGGAACCTTAATTAGTATCATTAGTAACACCTGTGTTTACCCTACTACTTCATCTCAAAATGGCTGCTGTGAAAAATGTCTATTGGCTTTAGGGATGGCAATGTCGGTCTGTCTGTCAAACTCAAATTCAAAGAATTCATTTGTCAAACAACAAATTAAAGACAACTTTCTTCCATGGATATAAGAATAAATAAGATAATTCTATGATGCTTTCTAGAAAGTGACCATGACAGTTTTAGTGTCCTGATGCGTTATTCACCTTCACTTTGTTCAGTATTTTTGAATATCAGGATACCTTATGTATTGAGGCGAATACCCTTTCAAATATACTGAGGTTCATAAGCCATTAATGTACTTCCATCTGTACTCCAGTAGATGTCACCATAGTACTTTTTGTACTGCACTCTCAAAGGAACGAATTAAGAGGAAGCAGATTGTGATTTCATGTGTTGGCCCTTTTTCTTTTACTTTTCTCTTCCTCAGGTAGAGCCATCATAGACAACATTACAGATGCCATATATGGAAGCAGGAAGACCATCTGTGTGATCAGTCGCAAATACCTTGAGAGTGAGTGGTGCTCCAAAGAGATCCAGGTGGCCAGGTAATGTATCAGCTGACACATGAGTTGTGACACATGGCAGTATAACACCTCACTAACTCTGTATTAAGGATCATCATCTCCATCGCCATCACTGCCAACGATCCGATGCATTAAAGATTAATATGATACAATTCCCCCAGACACGATGCAGTGCGATTCAACACGATTTGATTCGACACAATGTGATTCAGCTTGATGCAATGCAATTTAATATATCATCATAGCAATTCAGTATGGTACAGACAGATTTTAGTTCTTTGGTTCTTCTTCAGCAGCTTGAGGTAGAGCTTGGGGTCTTTATAGTTACAATAAAACAAACAAGTTTATCAGTACAAGAGGAAACAAAAAGGTCTAGTGATGTCTATTTCTAAGGAGACAGAAATAATGTTCTTGGCAATCTAAATGCAAGTTTCCCTTTATATACACATACATCAATTTATAGAAAATATGCAAAAGAAAATATGCATTTATGTGTATTTCAATCAGTTACTATTATGCCAATATTAGGAGGTGGTTCATCGAGATAAACAGCTGGTGGCGGCAATTATCTAGTTGGGTCATCAAATCACATGCTTCATGTACATTCACCGAGTCTGTTTCCATTGCACTGCATACTTTCCAGTTGCTCCACTCAGGGTTGTCTTTTATGTGCAAATTAATACACAAGTGAATAGAAATGTAAGTTTGTGTCACTTTAAAACTATGTGTTTTTGCTTATTATTATTATTATTAATATTATAAAAAAATATATATATATAAAAAAAAAAATAATTATAATTTAGTTTTAAACTGATTAGTTGATTAATCAGTTTTGATAGCCATTCATGCTCGGGTTGTTTATCAAGAAAAAATTATTTCACCTTCACAAATCTGAGGATTTCCTGCTTCACATAATTGAAAATCAATATCGTTGTAACTGTTGATCACATAAAAAAAGCAATTTGAATTTGTCATATTGGCATCTAGGAACTTGACGGCTATTCGGTTGATATACAAAACTACTTGAACTAGTTTAGTTTTGACCTCTTCCATCTGTCTTTCTCCTCCGTCCAGCTTCCGTCTGTTCGATGAGCGGAAGGACGTGTTGATCCTGGTGTTTCTGGAGGACATTTCCACCTTTGAGCTGTCTCCTTACCACCGCATGAGGAGGCTGCTGAAGAGGTGGACCTACCTGAGCTGGCCGCAAGCCGAGGAGCACACTGAGCTGTTCTGGGAGAAACTCCGCCAGGCTCTGACGACCACAGAAGATCACGCTGAGGACAGGTTCCTCCTCACTGTTATGGACAGACCGTGAAATACAATCTCTATGTGTCAGGTTTACAGCCTCCGGGCCTGTAAAGCAGCTCACACTAGAGATCAAGCTGTGAATATTTTTTCAGTTTTGAAAGACTAATGAGGATGTGAGCTCGGCCTTTGACTTCTCTGATTAGTACCGTTAAAAATAATCTGCTCACTCTGTTCAAAACAAGTAAAACATCTCTCTGTGGGTCTCCATACTTCCCAGTTGAGTTTAGAGAAGTCTCCGATTTTTTTTTTTTTAAAACAGTGAAATGGAAAGTTATATAACCAGTCTTTTAATCAGCACTTTTTCCCTCATAGACAACTGCCACAATGTCATGATATATAGGGACCTGTTCATTATTTAGAAATTAATGAGATAACAAACTATATAATCAAAAAACAAACAAATGAATGGGAGGAATATGTGCTATAAAAACAAAGGTGTGTAGGGTGAGGAGATCACACACATTAGCTGCAGCTCTGGCTTTATGCATGGAGCGCACCGGGCCCAGCTATGCCCCATGCCACTGATTAAGCCTCCTATTTATGTCTCTAGCTCTGGAGAAAGATAGTTGTGTCACTATTTTGACTGACTGTCTTCTTATAGTTTGAGCTGGAACAAGATGATACGGATTATATATGATACAATCAGTATCAGTTGATTTTAACGATGGAAAACTTTGTGATAAGGGGCTTTAAATCATTTAATTTTACTTGCATTTCTATTATTTAAAATTATTTTGATTTGCCACTTAAAAAAAAAAAACATGCTCTTTGGGTTTGGGTTAAACACTCTTTGCCTTGTCTAGAAATTTCAAAGCGCTTTTTTTCATGCAGTTGAAATTCTTTTTACTGACTGACTTACTGAGTAATCACTGTAAAGTACGATAAAATCTTGAAGATCGCAAGATATGATATATAATTTCTATATATATATATATATATATAGATAAAATCAAATGTTCAAGTAATAAATTCAAGTATAAAATGTCAGACCTTAAAATAAAAGTACAAAACGACCTGTGTGGACATGGTGAATGTAGTGAAATCCATAGACACATGACACATGTATAATTAAACATCTGTTTTAATCCGTTCTTTTAAATAGCAATTACACTCATTTATGAAGACAGTGTTTCATACTCATTCTCTCTGACCAAAAAATCAGAACTTGGTAAACATCAACACAACATTTCAAAAAATATTAGAAGATTTTGAAAACATTGTTTTCTATTTTTTTGACGCACTGTAGCTACAGCTTACTGTTATGTATTAAGAATACTACTAATGTCCCTGTTCATAATATAGAACAAATATAAGAAGAATTCAAATGACATGATTGCTCATGTTGCTGGAATTTGATTAAATAAAGATTTTGGTGTAGACGGTGAAGTTTTACTACTACTACTCTTTACTAAGAGCAATCAAGTTTTCAGAGGCAAATTGGATTCTCGGATGCGGTAATGTATAAAATATCAGAGTCATGTGCTGCAGAAGTTAGCTGTCGTAGAGCTTATGTTGATGTGGTGTTGCCTTGGGTCCCCTCTTTGATGATCTGAATGTTCTTCCTCCTCCTTTCGCTAAAAAGAAAAATGGAAACATTAAATTCGGTTCAGTATTTGGTTAGAGTACCAAATTAATTTAATGTAGAGAAAAATAAAGAGACATGAGTATACTCACTTAATGCACTCCATTCCTCTGCGGGTCCAGCTGACTGAAGGATCAGCACACACAAATCTTCCTGGAACGTGGAAGCTGTGGGATCCCGGAAAAAAGTTAGTTCATGATCACACACGAGATGCATGAATGCACTCAGTTACACAGAAGGGATAGTTTCCCTCCCTGGGGTCTCATTCCAGTGTGCTAGCTTATGTATTAAGCCCAGTGTGTCTCTAGTACATATTTACAACAGTGCCATCTCAGTGACTAACTAGCTACCCTCAAAAACTTTAACTCACTAGATAACTTTCTCATGTGTGACCTCTAAGAATCAGGATGTATTTGCCTTCACTTTGGTGAAAGAACTAACTATCTTAAACACACACGTCATCTTTGTTGGCAGTATAAAGAATTCATCAAGAAAGCACAATGAATATGTGAACTGCAGTTTGAATATACAGCACACTGTTGATCTGACTAAAAGCAAGTCACACATGAAATATATAATATATAAAGATATAGTAACAATCTCCTGTGTTATAGCCAGTTCAGATTTTGCCACCTCCTTCTTAGTATGCCACATTTGTATTTCATGTGTATTTAGATATAATAGTTATAGTACATTTTACTAATACTGTAACTTATATTCTTACATATTCTAAATACAGCCACAACAATCAGTCAACTGCCTACATTGTCAATAAAATAGAAATGTGAGCTCCTGTAAAGGTCATGGGTCCTCCACAAATCTGCTTTACTCATAACACATGTAAGCAACACATGCTCGCTCTCCTGTGTAACATAAATCTTGTTGTGGCAGAGCCCTGCAGATACCTGCCTGGTCTGATTGTTTCTACCCGTTTTTGCTGTTAGTATTAAATTAAACTTTGAACTCACATAATGGCGTGGATGTCACAGGAAGTGTTGATGGTCTGGATGCTGTAGTTCAGCAGCCGCCGGCACGGCAACGGACGCTTGGAGTACCTCAGGCAGCAGCTAGCTGCAAAGACAATGTGAGCAGCCTTTTTATTTTGATGCTGGAAACACAACATTCGAAACAAAATAGTACTTTCTAACAGTTTATTTTGCCACGTTTTTTCCCCAATAACTATATAAAATCATACAGTATTAATTCTATCTCTATTCTGTTTGTTACAGCTTTGAAATGCAGGTACTCACCTGACTGCGTGCTGCCAATAAAGGTGGTGAGGATGACGAGGGAGCACAGAGCTGCCACAAGACACATTTTCCTGCTTGCCATGTTTCCAGAGTGCTTGCTCTGCCGGTCAGATCAGCGTGAGGCTGTAGTAGCTTAAGTAGTGTAAAGTGCCTGAAGGCAGTCAGTGAGAGTGTGATAGAGGTTCGACTGCTCCTAGTCCTTAAGTAGGCCATGTCTGGGTTTTTCCCCAGTTGGGCAGGATTGCGTAATGCTGTGTGATTGTTAAAACTGGAAATGAGCCAAGTACAACCTCCAAGTGGGACTCGGAAGTGTGTGAGAAACGATGTATAAAGTTACAAGATTCTCTTTTTTTCAAGCTGTCGTCTACACCTGTGACTTGGCTTTAAGTCAAATTTCCTGCTCAGTACCAAACAGCAGACGGACACAGCCAGAGAGGAGTAAACTTTGTGGAAGATTTACCTAAAAGGAGCATCAGATGCAGACAAACAGACTTAATAAATGATAATGTTGCTTCCTGATTGCTGGATGTGTAAATTAACATCTGTTTGCTAACAGTGTATCAGAGTTGTGTTGTATGAGTAATTGAGACTTGGAGTTGTCCTCAGTGAGACTTGAAGGCTTGACTTTTAGAAAGTAAAAACAATTTAGTCTCACGTTTTTATAAAGTGAACAAAACCATGCCATGTGTCTAAGGTGTGTGACTTGTGTATAGTCACACACCTTAGACTCATGTTTCATTACAGTAAAAGGCCCTTTCATTGAAAGTGCTTCAACTTAGCTATGTGAAAAACACACTAGATTAAAAGGGAAAAATGTTCAAATTCTGTTTCAAGACCTGAAAAACCTGCATATGACTTGTCTTAGACTTGGGTTAGGGTTAGGGTTGGTCATTTGTTGCGGTGAAATCACCAAACTTTGCATCTTTTTATCTTCTTAATTAACTGATTTGTTTTTGTATGGCCTACACATGTACAGTATTGTATCATTCAATCTCACTACACTACCAAACTACAGGCAGACAAAGTGAGCAACTAGCTGGCAAATACTAGAATCTAGTTTAACTGAGAACAAAAGATATGTTTCTGTGGAGCTGGCGGAGACCAAAACAGAGATTAAATGACATACGTTAATGGGCCCAGAAACAATAATCCAGATGAATGAGCCAACAAATCTTTAGCAATTAGCATTAAAAGTTTGCATTTCATGTTTTCTGATGCTGGAATGCAGGTATTTCTTCTGGCAAGATTACATTTGACTCTTTACTTCCCCTTACAAGTTATTCAGTAACCAGCTCGCATAGCACCATGTGAATGGAATTTCATCATTGCATGTGCTTGCGGTTGAGTTGCTACGTGTATTTTATTTCCAAGATGCCTGTTACAGACAAAACAGACACAATGATATCTGAATATATCAGAGGAGAGATCAGAAAGGTAAACTGAGGCCTGTGTTCAGTAGAAAGTCCCTTAGTAATTTATTTGTTCTATTTGCTGTTGTGTGACGTGGAATTCCACTTTGCTACTTTGGTCATTTGTCAACATTCATTATCAAATGTGTGTTTTTACAAGTGATGATCCCCCTCCTAAATTTCCCCAGGTTTACACTATGAAAACAGTTGGCAGCTTTCAATTATCACCCTCAGTGACAGAGAAAGCGAAAGTGGCTGCAATTATTAGTGGTATGTCAAGAATGAATATATACCTGCAGCAGCTATGTATTCTTAACCACTGATTATTTGCTGCCTTAAATCACTTGTTACAGCTTCAAAGTTGACAACTGGTATTCTTCCTCTTGCCACTAATGATTAAACTTAGACTTAAAGCATGCATCACGTGTGTTCCCTGAAGCCTTTCTTATTTCATATATATGTATATTATGTGCTTGTATGGTGGATTTTACAAATAAAACTGTGCTTAACCAAGTGGAAGTAAGGTCTGCAAATGGGCTGACCTGGCCTTGTTTATTGAGGAGCTGCAGTGACATCACATTCCCATAACTCTGATTACATACTTCTGTTTAAATTGCTACTTACCAGGAATGATTAAAACAGCTAGTTACATTGATTAGAAGCATTATGTCATTACTTGGCAAATGCATTTTCATTGTTTCATTCACTTCACTTCACTTCATTTCATTTCATTGCTTTCTAAATCAAAAGAACTGTGACACAGAAGCAATGATTCATCAAGAGCACTGCTGATGGTGAAGGAGAATATTTTCATACCTTTATGATGATGGCAGAAGAGATAGACAATATGAGTCACATTGTCTGTGGACTGTTTCAGAAGGATGAAAGGCAGAGGTATTTTTTAAAAGGTTAAAGTATTGCTCATGCTTGTTTGTCAGTGCTTATAATGGAGTTTTGGGGTTGATCAGGATGTCAGTATTTATAGTGTATCAATACTACTGGAAATACAGTAGCTGAGGTTTGATACCAGAACAATTCTTTCCCTAATACCTTACCTATTATTGGCATTTAACACAGCATACAAAACTACTGCACATAATACGTCTGAATGACACACCTTTTGTGAATCCTTCACAGTCCTTCCTCCTTTATATAGCCGTTTGATGAAATAGTGTTAGTTCAACATGCAGTCATATTAATAGATTATGTAAACAAGCAGTACTTCCTGGAAGATATTTTCGGTAGACAATCGTGAAGGTCAAACTTTTATTTACAATCAGCTTTTGAACAAGGCAGAGCTTGGCGAGTGCACAAGCAAGTGCAGTACAACATACAATATGAGATGGGGATAAGTTTTAAAAAGGTGCTGATAAGGTGGATTACGTAAGGTACATACAGTTGAAACCAGAAGTTTACATACACTGTATAAAAAGGACACATTTTTTCTCTCTGTCTGACATTAAATCAGATTAAACTTTTCCTGTTTTAGGTCAAGGATTAGGATTACCAAAATTATTTCTATTTGTTAAATGCCAGAATAATGAGAGAGAGAATTTTTTAGACAATGTTTTTATTACTTTCTTGAAAGTCAGAAGTTTACATACATTTCGTTAGTATTTGGTATCATTGCCTTTAAACTGTATGACTTGGGTCAAACGTTTTGGATATCCTTCCACAAGCTTCTCACAGTAGTTGGCAGGAATTTTGGCCCATTCCTCCTGACAGAACTGGTGTAACTGAGCCAAGTTTGTAGGCCGCCTTGCTCACACATGCCATTTCAGCTCTGCCCATAAATGTTCAATAAGATTGAGATCAGGGCTTTGTGATGGCCACTCCAAAACATTGACTTTGTTGTCCTTAAACCACATTGTAACCAGTTTGGCAGTACGCTTCCGGTCATTGTCCATTAGCTTTAACATCTTGGCTGATGTCTTGAGATGTTACTTCAGTATTTCCACATAATGTTCTTTCCTCATGATGCCATCTATTTTGTGAAGTGCACCAGTCCCTCCTGCAGCAAAACAACCCCACAACATGATGCTGCCACCCCCTTATTTCACAGTTGGGATGGTGTTCTCAGGCTTGCAAGCTTCCCCCTTTTTCCTCCAAACGTAACGATGGTCATTATGTCCAAAC